GAGCCGAGCAAGGGAGTTGTGCTTGACAGCAGGGATGTCAAGTTCATGGAAGACATCACCTATGGGAGCTGGTCCAAGCAACCAAAGGAGCAGATCGTGCAGCAATTGCAGCAGGCCACCATGGGGTTTGAGATTGAGGAGGAGTGGATTGGGGGGGAGACCTCAACGGCACACGGGGAGGAAGGTGCAGCAGAGCTTCCCGTGATCAAGGACGTGGAGCCAACGGCTGTACCAGAAGAACCTCACCCCATAACACATGTGCTTCCCCCCACCCTTCCCCCAAGAAGAACCCAAACCAAATCCCCCCCTACAGGCCGTGGTCTTTCACCCATGATTGAAAGGCAGATGCGAGCAGCCGCACTGAAGCTGAGGGACTACAAAGGAGCAAGGGGAGAGCAGCAGCAACCCGATGCGCTACTGGTGCTCCAAAGCAGCTGTGACTTCGGTGAGGAAGCGGACGAAGAAGTCTACTACTTCATGGCACCCACACCAACTCAGCCACTGACCATGGAAGAAGCCCTCAACGGACCGGATAGGGACAAGTGGCTTGAGTCAAGAGATGCTGAATATAACAGCCAAATGGAAAACGGGACATGGGAGCTGGTGCCACTGCCGGAGGGGAAGAAAGCCATAAGCTGTGGCTGGATTCCAAGGATAAAAACTGACAACAAAGGAGCCGTGTCAGTTTACAAGAGCAGGCTGGTGGCAAGGGGTTACCAACAGAAAGAAAGGGAGGATTTCAAGGAGACCTTTGCTGCAACTGCCAAGACACCAACCTTGTGTGTTCTCCTCGCCGGTGCAGCCGTGTGTGGGTGGGTGATAGTCTAGATGGACATCACAACAACCTTCCTCTATGGGCTGATTGATGTGGAGGTGTTCATGTCGCAGCCGCCAGGTTATGAGGATGGCACCGGGCGTGTGTGCAAGCTGAAGAAGGCCATCTATGGCCTCAAACAAGCACCACGCTGCTGGTACAAGAAGCTGTCTTTAGTCTTGGAGGAGATAGGATTCAGGGCAAGTGCATGTGACGAGGGACTTTTCCTCATGGGGGAGAAGGAGAGCCTCGTCATGTTCCTAGTGTACGTGGACGACATCCTCTTGTTCGGGAGCAGCAAACAGGAAGTGATGAAGGTGCAGCAGAAACTGATGCAAAACTTCAAGTGCAAGACCCTTGGGAATGCATATTGAGAGGGATGTTAGCAATGGATGGGTGAAGCTGCACCAGGAAAAGTACATCAACGACATGGGAAGCAAGTATGAGATAGAGGTCGGAAGCAGAACACACCAGGCCGGACATCTCCTTTGCTGTGGGGCAACTGGCCAAGGTGGTGCAAAATCCCACCGAGGAGCAGGTGGATGCAGCAGACCGCATCATCTAGTATCTGAACTCCTACCCCACCGTTGGAGTTCAGTACTCAGCCGTGGCTCAGATGAAGCAGAAGGGAGCAGAGGTTCTCAAGGAAAAGGGGGAGCAGCTCGGGGAGAGGGAGCTATTCCTCACGGGGTTTGCAGATGCAATATGGGCCTCGGAAAAAGAGGACATGTCCTCAGTGGGAGGATATGTCTGCGTCATTGGTGGTGGGCCCGTGAGCTGGAGGTCAAAGAAACAGATGGAAACAGCGGGTTCATCAGCTGAAGCAGAGGACATGTCGATGTACCACGCAGCCAAGGAGCTGATTTGGCTGAGGAAGCTACTGGAAGAGATAGGGCATGAGCAGAAAACGGCAACCCCACTGTTTTGTGACAATTCCAGTGCCATCGCAATGTCCAAGAATGCTGTACTGCATGGACTCACCAAGCACATGCAGATCAAATGTCATTGGCTGCGGAAGGAGGTGCAGAGGGGATCAATCCAGCCCCTCTATGTGAAGACGCAGCAGCAGCCGGCAGATTTTCTCACGAAGCGGCTGGCTGAAGAACCCCACTGGCGCTGTGCTAAGTTGTGCGGCATGAGTCTTAACTAGACTCACGCTGTTGGGTGCAAAATGTATTTGCACGGCAACCTGCTGCCTATTCGTCGAGCAAGGTGAAAATTAAAGGTATATGTTTTAAGGTAATTTGGTCTGCGTGGAATGCGTATTTTTGTGCTCTTCATTTTGGCGTTTACGGTTTGTGAATCACCGTAGCGGTTCTCGAGTTATGTGCATTTTAGTGTGAGGTTGCATTCATGCGTTTTCATGATTGTTCGTGTGTGTTTCGTATGTTCGTGGCGTTTCACGAATGTGTGTGAAGTTCCGAGGGTACATGAGTGTTCATGGACCTTCGCGTTCTGTTCATGAGAGTTCGCGTGCTGTTCGTGCTCGTTCATGAGCGTTCATGAACGTTCATGTACGATCATGTTCGCTCATGACTGTTTATGTTTCGTTCATGTTTGTTCAGGCTTGTTTATGTTTTCTTCATGAATTTCTGTGCACCTTTCATGAGTGTTTATGGTGTGTTTCTGGTGTGCTGGGTGTGGGGCTCGAGACTTTGACCAGCCCCTTTGACTAAGTCTTGCGCTGGTCAAGGCTCGAAGCCATGAGCCCGAGCCTTGTTGCGCAATCATGGGAGCAAGGGCCGAAGGGTGCCAGTCGAGGCACACGCGTGGCCTGAGGCCGCAATTCAATTCGGAGCCACACGCGCGAGTGTGGCAGTGAGGTGGCGCGAGGGAAAAGACGAGCGCGCGTGGGTACAAGGTGGATTTCGGGGGTGCCATGTGGGGCCAGCGAGATTTCGCTTGACCCACGAGTTGTTCGTCCTGATCCTCCGAGGTGGAAATTCCGCCAGGGTGTTTTGCGAGGTGCGCGATTTACTTTCGACGCTGGTGCGAATTGAGCGAGGTGGAATTCAACGACTTCGTAATTTCGTCACGTAACTGTGCGAATCTCTCATGTGTTTTCATGAACTGTCACGTATGGTCATGAGCTGTCATGTTGGCTCGTGGAATTCCGTGGGCAATTATGGGTTACACAATTATGCGTGGGCGAGTATGTTGCCACTGATTTCGCGTGGAGACAGTTTGGCATTTCGGAGTATGGTGCTAGCTATTATTTCGGTGGGCTGTTAGCTTTCGCTTTTGGTGGGTTAGTATTAATTTGTGCTTGCGTTTGTTTGTGGTCAACCTTTTCTGTGAATGAAATATTCTCTATCATCGTATTGGCGTGAGGGAAATTATCTGCACACGAGCCAATCAGTCAATTAACGCTGCGCAACGGAGTTTGTGACTACTCTAGAGCACACGATTAGTTTCACACTTGGGAAATCCCTCTACAAACACAGACCCTTGGTTAGGGGCTGGTTTTACCAGGCACCCGAGGACCCTTGGAGGTGACCCCGTGGGGATAACTGAGTGGTGATTAAAGGTGCGCTTAGAGGTTCCTAGTCTCAATAGTAGTCAACACGTGGTATCAGAGCTGGTTCTAAGGATTGCCGTTAGAACACCATGGAGTCGGGCGGAACTGAAGGTTCTCTTGCACGTGCTAATAGTGGGAGCCATGACACTGGAGGTTCAGCGCCAAGGGGAGCGCGGACCAGCCAGGGCCCACTATTGAGGGAGGTGCTCAAGAACTTCAGCGTAGACAAGTTCAACGGCAGTGGGTACGACGATTGGGCGTGGAAAATGCAGTTGTACTTTCGGCAAGTCGGCTTATTGAAGCTGATGACGGGCGAGGAGAAGAGGCCGGACGACCCCAACCTGCAAGAGGAGTGGGACGAGCGGGCGACGGCCGGCTACTACCTCCTATCGCAGAGCTTGGACCTGAACCAGCGATCACACGTCATGCATCTACTGGAGAAAGCTGAATGTGGACCACTAGCTTGGAAGGTGCTTAAGGAGCTACATGCGCCAACCTCGGTGGTTGCAACACTCATGCTGGAGCGTGAACTTGCGTCGTTGCGTCTGAGTGAAGGGGAACCGATTCAACCCGTCCTTGACAAGATGCGGGAGTTATACGCTAAGCTGAAGATGGCGGGCGTAACCTACCCGGAGCAAACGAGTTGCTTGCGGATGCTGTCGTTGTTGCCCGAGTCTTGGTTGCAGTTCACGACTGGCCTCAACCTTCCTCAGAACCAAGGCTCATGGACGCTAGAATGGGTGAGGACCAAGATCCTGGAGGAGGACTTTAGGAGGCGGCAGTTCAACTTGAATCAAGATGGTGATGGCGGCTACGGCATGCAGGGCAGCAGTTGGCATAAAGGAAAAGACCGTGGTGGGCATGGACGGTTTGAAAGCGGACGTGGGGAACAAGGACGACATGAAAACAGACGTGATGAAAGGAAGCAGAGAAGTGACAAAAGTGATGATGACGAAGAAGAGGAGCACGGTGGTTACCAAGGGTTCAAGGGTACCTGTTGGTATTGCAAGAAGCCGGGGCACACGTGGGCAAAGTGCTGGAAGCGGCCCAAAGGGTGGACTCCCGGATATGAGGGCGGTAACCGAAAGGAGAACCAACAGCATGGCGTTGGTTATGTAGCAGAGACCGCAAATGAAAGGGGAGATGATTGGGAGCGTGCTCCGGGGCAGTTCTTCCACGTGCAAGGGAGGGGGGAGCAAGAAAGCATCTGCCAAGAAGGGAGCAGAGCCTACTCCTCTCAACACATGGATTCTAGACTCCGGAGCTGCGTGTCATATGACCCCGAGGGCGGACCTGCTAGAGAAAGTTGGCATGACGAGCATCACCGAAATGAATTCGGGATGCGGGTCCACGATGAAGGTGTTGGGAGTCGGCAAGGCAGCATTCAAGGGAGCTGACGGGAGGCCGATCATCTTAGAAGATGTGCTCTTGGTGCCGGAGCTGAAAGGGAATCTGATTTCTCTTAGGAAGATGGGGCTTGCAGGCGTGTGTACAGCTACCAATGGAGCTGAAACCTTCAAGGGGCAGCTCGGTGATCATGTGATGTGGGACTTGCATGAGGACAAGGATCTTCGTGATGAGCTGTGGCATGTGCCCGTGGTGCCATGGAGTGAGGTGACACCTGAGAAGGAGAAAGGGAGCTGCAGCTGCAAGGGAGAATGTGCGGCAATGGCTGCTGAAACGATTAAGGAACTGCAAGTGACAGTGGGGATGCTGGTGCAGCAGTTGAAGCTGGTAAATGCTCGACTTGCAGCGGCTGAAAAGAGAAATGCAACCGTTGCTGATGAGAAGATGGGTGCAGAATCCAGGGGGAGCTATGTTAAGGTTGCTGTCGTGAACAAGGAGAAGGGAGTGCACAAGGGCGGCACTCGTGAGCAGCAGAAGCCTAAAGTCATGGTGCAGCCGAAGAGTGAAGCTGTTAAGGAGAAGACGCAGGTGCTGCAAGTGGCAAGTGTTGCCACTGGTGCAACCAAGGTGATCGAGAAACCCGATGTGAAGCTCAGCAAGGAGGAAGCTGAAACTCCTTCGGAGAATAGCGGCAATATTTCGGTGAAGCTGCAAATGGTTGCAGCAGATGATGTGGAAGCTGAAATTGTGCGGGAGAGTGAGAGTGCCTTCACTAAAACTGGAGTGGGGATCGGCAATGTTGCAGAGCCGGTCGACTATGAGAAGGAGTTTGAGGGAGTTGAATAGCCGTCAGGTTGAGGGGGAGTTTGTTGGGTGCAAAATGTATTTGCACGACAACCTGCTGCCTATTCGTCGAGCAAGGTGAAAATTAAAGGTATATGTTTTAAGGTAATTTGGTCTGCGTGGAATGCGTATTTTTGTGCTCTTCATTTTGGCGTTTACGGTTTGTGAATCACCGTAGCGGTTCTCGAGTTATGTGCATTTTAGTGTGAGGTTGCATTCATGCGTTTTCATGATTGTTCGTGTGTGTTTCGTGTGTTCGTGGCGTTTCACGAATGTGTGTGAAGTTCCTGTTGGAGATTACGTGTGTTGGAAGCAAGGTGGTGGTGGGGCGTTTGTATGCCCCCAACCCACCGAATGTGTGACTTGTGCTCACCTTCGAGTGAGTTGCAGGTTTGCGTGGGGTTGAGGATTGACTTCGGAAGACCCATTCGATTCGGTGCCACATGGCAGCACCAGGAACATTCGAGACCCAAGGAGAATTCGGATCGGTGAAATTCGAGAGTCGAATTTCACCCTTTCGATGTTACTCGAACATTCGCGAGTGTAGCGGTTCGAGGTTACTTGTGCGATTCGATCTTGTTTGCATGCTATAAATCTGTTTTCTTTGTATTGCATGCCATCATAGTGAAACTCAGAGTTCTTTGTACAAGGTACATTCGAACACAAATTCCAGAGAGCTTCTTTACTTGCATTCAAGAGCACCACCTAGCACGTGAACGCCTATATCTCGGAGAATACTTAGGCGATCGACGTGTTTGACGGCTCGTTGGAAAGCTAAGAGAGAGCTCTATCGTTTAGAACAACTCCCAGTTCCTGCAAAGTAGAGGAGAGTCCTCTACAACAGTGGTATCAGAGCTGGTCGGAGGAGTCTACGCGCGCGACAAGGAGCACGCATGATGACTTCAAGCGAGGCCTCCCGCACTTCCTTGGATGGTGTCGTTGTAAATTCCGGCGAACCCTGGGCAACCGCGACGATGTTCGACACGTCGGCGGTACCGATTTTCACGGGACAAAACTACTCTGCGTGGAAGTTTAAGTTCCAAGTGCTCATGATGGAGCGGGGACTTTGGGGTTTCTTCGATGGAACAGAGAAGAAGCCGGACGATGAAAGCGGCATCGCGGCATGGAAGAAGAAGGACCAAAAGGCGTTCGCTACGTTGATTTCGCACATCGGCATCAATCTCGTGAGCTCGGTGCGCATGTGCATCAAGCTCGAAGCGTCGGCGCATGAAGCGTGGAAGCGGCTCGAGACCATCCACGTGAACAAGACTCTCCACGGCAAGATCCTAGCCCGGAATGCGTTCTACACGGTGAAGATGCGCGCGGACGAATCGATGCACGAGTTTGCGACTCGTGTGGAGGAACTCGGGGAAACGTTCATGGACCTCGGTGGAACGGTCACGGAGGAGGATTGGATTTTGACCTTGCTATGTGGCCTTCCGGAAGAGTGGTCGACGGTGATTACGACACTCGATAGCGGGCAAGACACTTGGACGAAGGAAATGGTGGTCGGTCGGCTTCTCCATGAAGAATCGCGTCGCCGACAATTCGCTAATGAGAACGTGGAGACCGCCATGTTCTCCGGAGGGAGCTCCGGAGGAAAGTCCAAGTGGAGCAAGGGTGCGACAAAGAAGTCGTACGGTGGAAGCGATCGCGGCAAGGGAAACACATCGAATGGCGCGAGCAAGTGCCACTATTGCGGCAAAGCGGGACACTTTTGGCGAGAGTGTCGGAAGCGGCCGAGCGATTGGACTCCATCGAAGGCGCGGAACCACGAGGGCAACGCGTTGGGAGTGAATGAAGTGAGTACATATAGGAAACCCTAATTGGGTTGTACCCCCTATGGGATACCCCACTATAGCCTACACAACAGCATAAGCTATATAATGTTCTGACACACCCCCATAGGCAAAGTGGGGGAGAACAAGGGGTCACAAGACCAGTCACGCAAAGCACAGCAAGCTCAGGGTGGATCACAAAGTCACCACACAGTCCGAGCACAACGACAAGGCCACAAGGCCAGTTCACATGCAGGAGGACACAAATATATATAGAGCTAGACAAGCAAGAGCAGGTATATATATGTGACAGTACAAGCAAGGTCAAGAGGAGAGCAAGTGAGGCAAGACAGGTACAAGACCCAACTGAGTGCAGAAGCGCTGATGGTCACAAGGCGCAAGTGCCTTGGTGAACACATCAGCAGTGTTGGCCTCAGAGGCCACGTACGCAAGTCGCAACTGACCACGCTGCTGCAGCTCACGAGCAAGAAAGTAACGGAGAGCAATGTGCTTCGTTCTGTGCTCCAAGCGCTGCTCTCGACACAAGGCCAGCATGGCCTTGTTGTCTACGTACAGCACTGGAGGAGAACGAGGCTGCTCTCCAAGGTCAGTCAGCAGGTAGGTGAGCCAGCGAAGCTCCTGTGCAGCCATGGCCCCGGCGTAGATCTCAGCCTCACAACTGGAGCCGAGAACAGAGGACGAGCGAGTAGCCCGCCACGAGACAGAGCCGGAACCAAGACTGAAGGTGTAACCCTGCGACGACCGCTGCGTAGCCTGGTCGTCAGCCCAAGAAGCGTCCGCTTGCCCAGTGAGGACCACTGGACTCCGCCCTCCAAGCACTAGCCCCATGCCCGACGTACTGCACAAGTAGCGCAACACCCTCTTCGCTGCAGCCATGTGCTCTGGTCGGTGTCTCCCAGGAGCAACATAGCGTGCAAGAATGCTAAGAGGGTATGCAAGGTCAGGTCGTGTGCAGGTCATCAGGTACATGAGGCAGCCAACAAGCTCTGGGTACGGGCCACTCGACTCTACGGACTCATCCGAAGGCAGAGCTGAGAGCGAGTGGCGAGTAGACAGAGGAGTGGCCTGAGGCGAGGAGTACGTGAAGCCGAAGCGCTGAAGGACCTGCTGCACCATGTGAGACTGAGTCAAGGTAATGGTGCGGCGTGCTCTGTCCCGAGTGATCTGCAAGCCAAGGTAGCTGCGCAGTTCACCCAGGTCTGTGCACGTGTGTCTCTTCTGCAGCTCGGACTTCACGTAGGCTAGTCCAGCAGTGTCAGCTGTGGCAAAGACCAAGTCGTCGACGTACACGAGGATGTAGAACGGCGGCAAAGAAGTGTCGGTGCGCAGAAACAACGACGGGTCAGCAGTAGAGGGAGCAAACCCAAGAGCCGCAAGCGTAGTCCTCAGTGTGTCGTGCCACTCACGCGGTGCCTGGCGGAGACCGTAGACTGGCCGTCGGAGGCTCCACTGGGTGCCAGGAGGGAAAGTCCCAGTGAAGCCAGGTGGACGGCGCAGCCAGATCTCCTCGTGCAGGCTACCCTGCAAGAAAGCAGTGCTGAAGTCAAGAGAGTGGAGCTCGTAGTCGCGCTGAGCGGCTATGTGCAGCAGCACCCGAAGAGTGGTCATCTTCGGGGTGGGAGAGAAGGTCTGAAAGTAGTCAACTCCCTGCCGCTGACTGAAGCCACGAGCGACGTACCGCGCCTTGAAGACAGGTGGAGAGCCCGGCGGCCGCTTCACCCTGAAGATCCACATGCCACTGACGATGTTCGCCCCAGGAGGGGGCACCGCGTCAACGTAGGTGCCTGTGGACTTCCAGGACGCCATCTCTGCATCCATAGCTGCCTGCCACTGAGAGGAGTAGGGACCCTCTACGGCCTCCGCGTAAGAGCGCGGAGTCGGGATGTCTAGTGCATCCGGGTCTCCCTCAGGGGCAAGTAGTACGGACGCGAGATGAGGTGAAGCAGCAGCCAGACACTGGAACTCCTCCTGCCTGTCCTCAAGGACGTCCGTGCCAAGAGCACACTCACCCCCGACGGACGGAGGACAGACAGACGCAGACTCAGCAACAAGACCGGCAGCGTAGTCTAGACGACAGCGAGCAGCAAAGTCGACGAGCTCAGCAACAAGCGCAGACGCAGCAGTGGACTCAAAAGAGGGGTCAGTGACGACAGTAGCAAGGAGACGTGTGACAGTAGGACTAGCAGCACGAAGAGAGTCGGACTCTGGGTCGGTAAGTGCAGGAAGGGAGGACTCAGGAGGAGAAGGCAAAGGGGCACGCAGAGGAGCAGTGGACGGACGCAAAGACATCCGGTGCGTGCCAGGGACAGGAGGAGGACGCTGACGCGAACCGCGACCACTAGCGCGAGCAGCACGAACAGGCGACGCAGGACGAGACGCAGGCTCACGACGCTCAGCAAGACCTCCAGTGGGACCAGTGTAAGGAGAGGGAGCAGGAAGTGGGGAGGCGGGCTCTAACTGGGACTGTGACTGAACAGGCGGTGGACACGCTGCAGGAGGAGAAAGACCAAGAACCTGCTGTAGGAGTGGAACGAAGTACGGCCGAGGCCGCGCGGCGACTCCAGACACAGCAGGGACAGCACCCTCAGCAGCAGCACCAGCGCCAACAGCACCTCCAGCGGCAGGACCTCCAGCAGCACCAGCAGCACCCGCAGCAGGACCACCGCCAGGAAGGACAGCAGCAGTCTCAGCACCAACACATGCAGCAGCTCCAGCTCCAGGCGGACCCGAGGGCCCAGCAGCTCCGGGACCAGCGGCACAAGTACCCTCAGCAGCCGAAGGAGCTCCAGCTCCAGCAGTACGTCTCCAGCGGCGAGCAAACCACTCGCGCAGCTCCTGTGGAGAGAGGGGCTCCCGCCGAGGCGAAGCACCCGGAGAACCGCCAGGTCCCGCACCGCCAGACACCACAAGGGGAGGTCCAGTGGCCGCAGGCTCCGCAGCTCCAGGCTCAGCAGCTCCAGACGCAGCACCCCCTGGCGCAGCACCCCCAGTCGCAGCACCCCCAGGCTCAGCACCCCCAGACTCCGCACCCCCAGGCTCAGCACCCCCAGTCGCAGTACCCCCAGGCTCAGTACCCCCAGACTCAGCACCCCCAGGCTCAGCACCCCCAGGCTCAGCACCCACGCGCGTAGCACCCCCAGAGTCAGCACCCCCAGGCTCAGCACCCGCAGCAGGACCAGAGTCACCAGCAACCTCGACCGGCTC